TATATATATATATATATATATTACATATATATATATATATACATATATATATATATATATATATATATATATATATGCGGAATATATGTTCAAAAATGCATAGTCATTCTGCTAGTATTACACTCTCAATCGCAATTGCACAAATATAGAGATAAAAATGTCCGTTCTAAATTACACTTACCTACATTTTTACTTCACATACAAGATATTCCGAGCCTTCATTTCTAATATTCATTGCTCATTTCATAGCAAGATAAGATAGTCTACAATATAAACCTGTTTTAATTTACCATGCAAGGGCTCAGAGCATAACATACGTGTCAGATACAGGCACATGCTATGAAATAGGGTGCGGCTATCAACTGAAGATGGTATATTAATACACGTCTATTGTATTTTTATTAAGGTTGTGATGATTTTTTCAAACGTTTTCTCGACTACCTAGTGTGCGTGGTTGTCTGTATTGCCTTCGAAATACACATTCGGCTACATCATAGCCATAAACATCTCAAGGACCTCCTCACAGTTGGACATCTTGAATTGTGGGAAGACACCGTCAAGACCATCGGCAACTGTACCTGAATCGGTATCCAATCCCAATGCTTTCTTGGCATCGCCAAGCTGTCCGACAAACCCAATCACTAGAGCTGCAGTTGGCTGTGAAACATCGAAAGCACCTACAGAAACGAATGGCCCAGTCCCAGTGTTAATCTGAAAATGCATACTGCCTCTAGGGAAGAAGAATGTATCTCCCATTGTGACGTGCTCTAGTCTCAGCATGTTGTCACCCACTCCGTAAGTACCGATGATGCCTTCACCCATGACAACCGTCTGGAACTCAGTTGCATCTGAGTGAACGTGAGGTGCAACTGCACCACATTCATTGAGACGGATTGCAAGCGTACTCATACCAACCCCGTTGATATCGGGCCAATTTCCAGGAGCTCCACCTCCGGAAGACTTAGGCATATCATTATCGCCTACTGTGAGCTTCAAACCTCCACCTGGTCCTGTCAGCTGCGGCATGTTCAGCATAAAGTCGCTATCGAAAGCCTTCTCTGGGGCGACGAATGCGTTAGCATAGCTTGTAGTTAAGGTGCAAATCAGCATGATGGCAGTAGTAGACTTCATGGTCAGTTCTGTTTTTTTATCCAGATAGTGTCAAGCAAGATTATATTGTGATGTGATGATGTTGTAAGTATCTAGATAGAATACGTCGGTATTTATACTCTTTGGACCGTGAATCGAATACAGATACAATCGAGTGGGTGATACGGTACGGGGTCTTCTACCTTTCCGTTCTACTGGTTGTTTGTGGATATCCAAAGCAGAGCACCAGTTGTTGGCGGACGTCCGAAGGAAAGTAAGACGTACAAGATATATAGGGCACCAAGTCTAACAGCTTGCAATTTACAACTATGCGCGAACAACCGCACGCTATCCTCAGTTGTTGATATATCCATATCACTCAACTGCAGATAGTGGACGCTATTTTGACTGAGAGTACCATCTAATTGGCCGAAAAGGTCACCGGCGATAAAAGCAGTGTAGAGTGTAGAATTAATTGTAGTTTTGATACTGTTGATAAATACTAAATACAGGTATTGACTATTGTGTGTTGCTTGTTGCAAGATGCGTGACATTTCTTGAAACAAAAACAAGCAGTAAAAAAAAATTGCACACACCAAATCACCAATCACGAAGCATTGTGATTGTTGATTGTTTACATAATATGTGTATTTGTATCATTGTATTTGTAGTTGACAGTTGTGAATAAGTAAAACTGATCCTGAAAATCTTCAAGTGACTCAAAAGAGTATTACTCGGGCCTGATTGTAGAGTAGATCTGACAGGATTCTCATTCCAAGAGTTCTGTTCATTCACATTGTTGATTGTTCTCATGAGTTGTAAATATAAAATCTGAACTTACTAACTACGTACTTACTACTTAGTACTAATATTGCTTATTTATGAATTATGAACAGTAACTTCATGACAACTACTTTTTGAAAAATATTGAAAACTTCAGAGCATTTTTTAGTTCCGAGTTCAAGAGTTCACTCAGTTCAGACTTCAGACTCTAAAGCCTGTTGGGCTTGTTCGAGGTCGTGATCACCTTAAAGTGATACAGTGATGAGTGAAATCCTGGCCTGGTAAACGACGACGATAGACACCCCTGAAGATACCTGAGAGGGCCGTCGCAACATATCTTTTGGTCTGTCTTTACTCTTTTGTTTGGGAAACAGCCCAACTGAAGCACACCCATGCAGGGATAGTCCTGAGACGCGCACCTTTTGCATACATGCGATAGTCATTCTGCTTTAATATCACAGTGTTGAATTATCGCGATTGCGTTCCTGGATGACTCCAAATTGTATCTTTGTCTTTCATGGGAACAGTCTTAATCGGGTTTTGCTAAACGAAAACTTGATTTCCCAGTAACTGCAAGTATAGATTTATGTTCAACAATCCGGTTTTGCTCGATCTACAAACAATCAATTCAGCTCGTTCAGCGACGACAGTACCGGGAGTCCGTGACTGAAGTCTACCTTTCGCAGAATATGCACTAAATTTATCCCGAGAAGATGTTATCTGCACGGTTCCCACTTACAGACTTATTCCAAGATGCTCATTTCCATTGTAACATCTAGGCAACGCAACCACTTTTGTCCCGGGAAGTATCGCTATCGTACAACCATACATATGCACGAGAAACCTTACACGAAGCCGAAGGTCAGACCAACACTCAGGGTTCGACTCGCAGAAGCAAAATCCCGACGAAAGCCCGTTACCGATTTGACGTGCAATTTACCAGCGGGTGTTCAGGTTTAGACACCTATGCTAAACCATTCGAGTGCAGTAGATAGCATAAAACTATTCAGGAATGTTTCTCTCGGCGAGCTGTTGTCTATTTGTGTCAGCAAAACGAATACATTTCAGCAAGCACAGAATAATCCACCGTATACTACCAGCATTTTATATTCACTTGCTTCTCACGGCCTGCTACTTTAATATAACTCCCGATGAGAAGGCTAGGTAACGGAACCGAAATCGATTCCCACCACAGACGGGAAATGATATCTCGCAAACTGGAGCTATTCCAATCAATACATGGGATTTCCCTCGAGGCGTGCTGTTGTTTTAAGCTGCTGAAAGGTCTCCTAAATCCGTACAGCATTTAGATAGACTATGTACAATCAGACCGCAGGTACCTTTACCTCCAGCTACTATTGATTAGGGGAGGGTGCGAAGTGGGTTGGTGGGGTATCTATTGTCCGGAGAACTCGTTCTCGGATGCAGTTTAAGCGAGCACTATCGAAAAAAACTACTCCGCTCGATCCCTAGGCGGTGGTAGAGACACAGTCCTGGCCATCAATAAACCGGAGTTTAAATTCTGTGCCCGGCTAAGCCCCAAACAGGCTGAGAGGTCCACCTCGTAAGCACTTGTCTTAGATTTAAATTTATGCCGACCTATGTATACTACTGACATTCTGGGTCCACTGCTTGGATTAAACTTCAAGTCTGAACGGTCAAGTCTTTACAGACTACACTACACAGCACCTACAGTACATGCGAACGGTCACCCGATATCGCACCAGAACCCTGCACACAACCGTACACACTGCTAATAGCTTGAGATTTGTTCCGATTCACAGGCGAAGTCGGGCTATCTGCCGAGGAGACCTACGAGAGCATCCGCCATGTGCTTATGCCCGGCTGTGGTGGGATGGAACTGATCGAAGAAGAAGTACGACTCGGGTGCATCACACACGGTGTAGTTGGTGCGAGAAACCACCTGTTGATATGGTGTTCGATGATGCGATCGGTTAGTTATTAGTGGATTCGATTGTTTCAGCTGACGTGATGGAGATGTGACGCACCTCAGATACGCGTGCGGAAAAGCGGTAGAATGCAATGCGTGTGCTATGGTCACGACAAATCACTAACAAGACACCATACTAGCCATACAGTGCCGGCGCACTATATGTTGACAGGCCATTCTCATTCTTCATAGACCTTTCATTCTTTGTATATGTGTCGTAAAAAAACGTAGTTTAATTTGCGACTGAGAGGATATACTCTGTCTTGATAGCCACGAGTGTGCCTGCCTGACATGTAAGATAAACAAACAAAAACCATCCCCTTCTGCAAAGTGTTACCTGAGCACAAGCCTCACTATTGTACGGTATAGTGGGTAGGGCCAGTTCCATTGCAGCCAGCATTGGTACAACATCGACGCTATTGGTGGCGAAAGCGGCATCCCGTTTCAAGCCCTGCACGCTGCGTGATGGAAAGAGCGTACGCACGTCAGTTGGCTGACACACACCTCGGATGTAGTGGCGTGATAACTCTGTTGTGTGCTTTGTAGATAACGGAATAGAGTTGTTTGGTAAGCATGCACAGGACACCAGCACAAGTAACCCTATGACTGTGTGGCAGGTGGTGACTGACCCATGCTGTCGCATGGGGTTGAACGGGACTATCCGATGCCTGCGCTGCTGTGATCGATTGGCCTACAGAATACAACCAGTATCACATCCACGCTCTGGCCGTGGATGTTCGCGTACAAGCACGAGTGGAGGTATGCATACGCCATTCGTGGGCGAATGGGTTCCTTTGTATTGTTTCAGATTGATTCACAGAGACGTTGCTCATTCACCCGATTGCATATATTTATATACATGTTAATAATTAAACAGCGAGCGTAGTACATTCTATAGCCGCGTTCGGTACAAATATTCACGCGCCAAGGCGTACAGATTCAGCGTGCATAAGAGGACGGCTCCACCCACCGGCACACAATCAACATCGACAGGTACGACACAAACCCACACACTCCACTCACATCACACAGTACACACAGATAAGACTAACCACAATCCACATCATACGGTACAACATAAACCCACACACTCCACTCACATCACACAGTACACACAGATGAGACTAACGTACCCTTCATGTATTTGCCGCGCAAGCTGCTTGGTAACAAACTTCATAACGGAGCTCACTACAGACCCCTCGGCATCCAAAGTGGGTGTGGCATACATCGCATAAGCATCACAGACAAGCACTTTATCAACTGAGACCTGTGCAGGATATGTGCAGACAGGCAAGCAACAGAATACAGGCAAATGTACATTGTCAGTTGATGATTACGAAATTAGTGTGTGTCTTGTGTACGAGTAGAGGGGTAAACAATTTGATATAGATATATATATATATCTTCCAGTATGGGGGCTCTCCGTGTGTTTGGCAAAAGAACAAAAAGATAAAATAGCATATAAATACACACACACACACACATACACACATGCACACAGACACAGACACATTCACAGACACATTCACAGACAAAGACACATTCACAGACACAGACACAGACACAGACACAGACACACACACACACATATATATATATATATATATATTGACACACAGACACACAGATACAACTCACAACACACACACACACACGCACACA